TTCCTAAGTGCTTTTCGGGCTGATTTATACGATACGTCAAGTGCTCGTTTAAGTAAAAACTCCGCACGACACAACCAAAGATATCTTTACGATTGGTGATCAAAAATTTTCGAGTCGATGAATTATTTGTTGCATGAATGGAGATTTTGTTGCTAGCGAAAGCAACTGATGCGTTTCAATGGAAATTGCTCGCTGACTTGTCGACTGTAAGCAGTCATCACCACGATTTCAGGCATTCGAAAGATTTGAACGTTTACAACGTCAGCTCGAAAATGTTTCATCATTTCTGCAGGATCTCACTGCGTCTCAAAATAAACCGGTATTCGTTCAATAAATTTTCAGCAGCCTTTCAGATTTATTGATAATCTTTTGCATCTATTAGCCAGTTTATATGCAATAACTCGCTCGATACAATATAATGATCTGAAGCAGTAATCTGGTGGTGATTTTTTGAAAGGACATTTTTTTGCAGACAGTACGAAGTCGGCAACGAGGTTCGTTGTCGTCAATTGATGAGTGCTCGTTCAGTGATCGTGCTAAGAGTCCAGATAGTGCCGTTGTCGATACACTGAATAACAACGCTCAGCATAAACGATTTTCCACACCATTCATAAGATTATGACATTATTAACTACTTCGTTATAGTGCATGATTGTTGTATTTGTTACCCGTGAAAATATTTATTCACAACAAATGTCATTTATAAACTCATTTTTAATTGTTGTAACATTCATAAAATATTCAAACAGTTCTCAGTGTTAGTGTTAATGAATGACAAATGAACATTGAACGGATCAGATGCATGTTGGATTAGAGATATGAATAGCGATTGATAAAGTCTAACGGGTCTATTGGTTAAGAAATTTTTTATGTACATCATATTTTGTGTATTCTAGAAAGCGAACGTGTGCAAGTGTCTCTTTGAATGCTTCGTCGTGATGCCAAGACGATGATCATATTGCGATAAACCAGAAGCGATACAGACTCAGTGGAGTCAATCGCCTTCGCCTAAATAATGATAAGCAAATGGACAACAAACACACACTGTGGGGAGGTAATCTGCGAATCGTTGGTCCATAAGGTGATAGTGGAGCGCTACAGAAATGTTTCTTGACCGGATGTGGCACTATCTGCAATGAGTCAAGGATTGGTATCCAGCTCAGCTGAGGTTCACTGAAGGATTTGTTCGCAATTGGCGATGTGAGGACTGCACGAATTCTGATATGTCGTTATCAAATGCGGCTGAAGTGCCGGCTGAGAGCGTTTCACTGAAATAACTTAGGGTTCTCAGTCAAAAACAGTACTCACCATTGGCAGCATCCGCATATTCCTTTGCAATTGGTTCAGAATGATCTATTGGTTGCGCAATCAGTGTTTCGTTCTCAGCCAACTGAAAAATTCCCACATTAGTGAACGTAATTATTTCTCGCTCAGTGATGTAGGAAACTTTCGGTTCCCCAGTATTGGATGAAGAAACAGAACATTTTTTGGATTGGCAAACCTTTGTTTTTTGATCTTTCATGCACCAAGACGCATAACATTGAAGAGACAATTCTTTGAGTTCTTTACGAAGTGCGGACTGACATGATAAATAAATTGGTAAGCGACTAGCACTTGCTAAATTCGTTAGCAATGAGATGACGTCTATTGCGATGGCATAGTACCTAAATGGAAGAGTTGATTCATGTGATCTCTAACATCAACAAACAGACAATAAATCTAACAATTTATCTATATTATATATACACTTTTTTATGCTCTATATTATACT